TGGGGAGGGGAAAGTGCAGGGCCGGATCCCTGGGTCAGCGGCTTAACCTCTCTGTGCCGCTGGGTTTAGGTGGACCGACTATGTCCCGCTGGGCAGGAGGATGCCGGGCACCCGCTTCATCGCCTTCAAGGTCCCCCTGAAGAAGGTAAGCGCCAGCTGCTGCCCCGGGCCCATTTAGGGTGGAAAGCGGCTGTGGGAAAGTGTCATTTTGCAGGCAATCAGTAAGTAAATTCCTTCCGGAAGATGACAACGAGCGTCATTAGGTCATTTTGTTGTTTATTTTTGATGGGGGAGAGAGGAGCGTAGCATGGTTACTGCTGTTTGACCAGTCAGAGTGTGTGATGGGATTGTGGTGGCATTCACACTGCGGGGGTGGCTGGGAATGGCTTCTCAGGGTTGTTGGCAACTTTCTGGGTGCTGGCAGCACCACCCAGGCACCCTGGATACAAGGAGGTCTGTCTGGGCCAGCTCTGTCAGGGCAGGAGGGATGCTGCAGGCAGCTCCTGTTGCTGTGCACCCTGATGGATGCAGTGCCAGAGCCCAGTTTTGGGAGCAGAGGCTGTGGGCTGTGAGGAGTCGCTGTGGTGGCACCGCTGCCTTGCCTGGCTGTGCCTGGAGGACCCTGCCGGTGTGTGCTGGGGTGAGTTCTGCTCTGGAGTGGTTTGAGTGCAGCAGTTAGGCCTAAAGCAAACCCTGGGTGATGTCCATGGGGATTGTGGAGCTTGTGGCGGGGAGCAGCGCTGTTTGTTCACCTCGGTTTGAGCTGAAGGCCTGTTCTATAGCTTTTGCCAAACAAAAGCTTCCATTTCTGGGTATGTTTGTTGTGCTGCAGTGCTCTGCCACAGCATAAAGTCTTCAGTCACTGCTGGAAACCCTTAGCTGAACAGTCCCACATCAGTGAGGGCCTGAGCGCGGTGTGATTTGGCTTGGTATAACTGGTGTGTCTATCTGTGTCTGCCTTTGTTCGTTGTCTGCGTCTTTCTCTGTGAAGGGATGATCTTTGGGAGGTTCTGGATTAAGAACCTTCTCCCACTAGTCACAGTGCACCTGCGTTTAATGTCTGCTCCTCAACCTGATTTCCCCTCAGAGCTTTGATCACAACCTTCATCCAGAGGAGAGATTTTCGCCTCGTGACCTTATTAAGAAAATCAAAGAGCAGAAGGAAGAACTGGGCCTGATCATTGACCTGACGTACACAACGCGCTACTATGGGCCGGAGGTCAGTCTTGCTCTTACTGTTGGGGAAGCGAAGCTCTGTGTAAGCCCTGATCTTGCTGATAAAGTACACGATGTTTCTTGCAAGAAAATAATTTTAAAGAGCGTGAAGTGTTTGAATCCTCTGGTAGGGGGATGAGGTGAAGCGTTGCGGGCCCATCAGCATGGGGTCTTCATCCTTGACCAAGTACAGCCTTGGGATCTTCAACTCCCATTGTGCAGATCCTCTTTGTACCAACGAGCTCAAGTATGGGGATAGCCTAAACCTGGTTTTTATAGGCTTTCCTGAGTGAAGAGCTGATTACAGCCAGCTTTGGCTTGTGGTATCAAATGTGTGGATACTTGCTTGGAGTTGTGTTCTGTGCTCTGTGTATGGTTCATCTTCCCCAGGGAGAAAAGGGCAAAAGCATAAGAAATAAAAATGTAAACGGGCTGCTCTGGAATAGTGGTCATATGTCATAGGGGGGGAAAAAAAAGGGGGG